AAAGTTGACATGTTTTTACTTATTTTTTGATTTTTTCTAGGAACTGAATTATGCAGGGTGGTACCTTCTCAAATTGACCCACAGTATTTCAAGGAAGCAAATTACCATCGTTTCCATTATTTTTTTGAAGTTATGTCTACTGAAATCGCAGCCAGGCTCTGAACATAATATATTCGATATCTTCAAGGTGTTTATACAGATATTCGAACTCATCCTTTTATAGGTGATTGGCACCAGTTTAGTTCTTTGTTTAGGCAGAAAATAGATAAGCCAAGACATTACTCTATCCTCGAGTTTTACACATCATTTTTCTTCGTGAAGTATCTGACGAGTAACGAGAGGCTGAAAACTAGATTCTACCTAACATAAAATTCACAAGGTATTAACATAGCTGGTAGTTGATTACAGATGTGACGTGTGAAAGTTGAACAATTTCCAGGATAATATCTATCTATATCAAATTCAAATCTATAAAAAATACCAAATGAGCAAGAACTTGATGGAAATTTGACAATGCAAATTAGTTTAGAATTAATATGTCCCTGGTGTGGAAACAATATATAAAACATCGCAATAATTTATTCCAAATAATATGAAAAATCATATTGTATTGTATTCAATAATGAAATTATTAAATATTCCAGATATCAGATTTGTTAGTTCAATCACTGATCAAAATTTATCATGGTCGAAACATACTGCATTTTCTGAATTAGAAATGAAATTTCTTTGAATTATCTGACAATAGCCTTTATTCCTTAATTTATTCTGAATTATTTCAATATTTTATATATGTTTGGGGAACGGCTAGGTTATCGATCATAAAGCCACTTGAAATCCTTCAAAATAAAGTTGTCAAATGTATCTAATCTGAACGAACCTAACTTAATCAGATTTCCACGATAACAAACAAAGTGATAATTCGGGAATGGGATACCGGGTGGTCATCGAAAACGTTCCACCCATTTGGCGTTTAGGATTATACGTTCCACCCATTTGGCGTTTAGGATTATTGAAGTATACTTTTCAATGATTTAAAAAAGTACTATTTCCTATTTGAAGAAAATTAAAGAAGAAGAATGTCATTTGGAAGGATTTCGAGAGTGTCTCCTGCGCCACAATTTTGGAAATAAATTTCCACATGTGATGTCATTGAAAAGGGAATTTTTCTCTCTATGGAATTTAAAAATATCTACGGGGTTCCATTCAGAATAATCGACCTAGTATATTCCCGGTAGAAACGGAAGTGATATTCAATTGCTTTTTCATGAAAGATGTGGGTTTTAAGGATCTATATCTTTGATCAAAATGTCAAAAGTCTAATATAAAAAACAACTGAATAACGCCCTGGTCAATGATTTCGTTGTCACCCGGTATAATGAGTCACACTTCCTAGATATACTTTTTTCAGGATGGATTGGGAGACTAAAATTGAAATATATTATATAGAGATTGATGAAGAAATGAGATATAGACAAGACAATGGCTTCAAAGAAGAAATGTAGATAGAGTCCTGCCAAAGATTTTTAACTCAATCAGATTGAAGGAATCACAATACTTGGCCGAATCACATGTCTGACCTCTGATCTTTTTTGTGGTCATCTTTATCTCTGTCATTGTACAAACATGTTTCATTTCAATATATCAATAGGTGACTTCTTGGTAATTTTGCACTTATCAAGCGATGGTTTTTTTTTCGAACTTTTTTTTTTGTACTTACGTATTTTTGTCTGATAAACAAGAATTTGATAATGAAAATGTGAACAAACCACTTTTTATCTAAATATTTCAGGAAAAAGTTCGAAATTTCGCCTCCTTTTTCCCCTTGTGTTGGATGCATTTACAGCTACTTGCTCTTCTTATTTTGTCATTGAACACTTCATTCAATGACACATTATAATATAGAAAATTCAACAGGAAATATGATTTTTGGAGTTTTTCATATTTAGTGAACAAGCATACCAGATGACTAAACATGGAAAAATCACAAGAACATCATATTTCTAGTTGACTCATATAATAAATTGTCCAATGATGGAAAAAGAAGGGCAAATTGTTCTAAATGCGATCCAGAAAACAGGCGGAAAATAAGGTGAAATTTGTAACTTTATAGTGAAATATCTGAATAAATAATGGTTTGTTCACATTTTCATTATCAAATTCGTGTTTTTCAGACAAAAATATGTGAGTACAAAAAAAAATTCGAAAAAAACGCATGATAAGTGTAAAATCACCGACTTCTTTTTCACCCTGATTTCCATCAACAGGCATTTTTAAACCTTAATTTCCGCCATAGGTACTGCTTCAAAAAATAATCATATTATTATAATTTTAGCGTCGGCAATCCACTTATCAAAACAAAAAACAATCCGAGATAAAAATGGAAAAACGTAAACATAACCTCACAGTGAGGCAACAGTCACGAACCGTCACTGCATGTATTTCTCTTACAGATAATTGACAGGAGGTTGTTAGGCCTGAAAAAATCAGGGGATTCATAGGGGTTACGAAGGTGCATGAGATGCATACCTTGTCAATAGGAAGGTTGAGTAGTTCAGCTGAATAGTTCCATGAATTCAATTCTTTCTCAGAGCAAAAGTGATGATCAGAAGATGTATTTCACAATGAGGGGTAACATTTTCAGTCTCACCAATTAGTGTTACTAAAACGAGAGGTCTACGCTCGGGACTTTGACGTCAAAATCCCAAAATTTTGCCAGATAGCCCATATCTATTTTTCCGAAAATTTCATGAAAAATGATTTGACCTATGTGAACAAATAGAAGAGCTCATGTTATGGTTGATTGCGTTTTTAACCGTCGATGTGACTTTACACAAAAGTCAAATGAAATGAAAAGAAGAAGCATTCCTGTCAGTTCTACCAACCTTGACCTAACGTCTCAGTAAGACATCGCCCTAGCTTCTCAGGAAATGCAGTAGCCGTTCGATAGGTAAAGCAGTGTCGAGCCGTTACCACCGATACAACAAGGCCAGCAGACTCTGACGTAAACAGCTCGTGACGTCACCAAGAGAGGCCAGTGTTTTATTTTATCGCTTGTCTAATAGAAGACAATTACCCTATCATGAAAAGTATAAGTAGAGGAAAAATAGAAAAGCTTTGATTGTGCAGTTAGTTTTGTATTCGTATATTATAGTCAACAAAATCATCTCTGAATTCGAGGAAATTTTCTTGAATGTTCATAATAAACGGGCATTTTTAATTCTCATTCTTAAATTTCTTTCTGAAAACGGTCACTTGCCTCGTGGCAATGAATGCAGAATTCATTCCAATGATCAAATTGCAACTATCATATTAACATGAACTACAAACACTCTACTTAAAAAGGTAAAACTGCATTTATCATGATATTTATCATGAAGATATTTGACTAAAAAGTTCCAAATTTCACCTTCTTTTTCACCTGTCTTCTGGATGACATTTAGAATAAATTTCCATTCTTTTTTCATCATATTGGACAATTTATATATAATTCAACTATAAATATGATCTTCTTGAGATTAATCCATATTTAGTGAAAAGAAGGAAGAACATCATTCAAAATAATGGCGTGTGTAATGTCATTTGAAAGCAATCTATTGACATTTGACATCTCGTATTTTGATTGACTATTGATTAAATGGTCGTCATCTGGAATGCTTGTTCACTAAATATGAAAAACTCGCCATAAAAATCATATTTCCTGTTGAATTTTCTATATAAAAATGGGCCATCGAAGTACATCATGAGTATATAAAGTGTCCAATGACAAAATAAGAGCAAGTAGCTTCAAATGCCCCCAACACAAGGGGGAAAAGAAGGCGAAATTTCGAACTTTTTCTTGAAATATCTCAATAAATAGTGGTTTGTTCACATTTTCATTATAAAATTCGGTTTATCAGACAAAAATACGTGAGTATCGAAAAAAGTTTTTAAAAAAAAACCATCGCATGATAAATGCAGTTTTACCCTTAAAAATTACGGTTTCAAGTGTAACGATCCACTTGGGTGAAAAATCCAACAGAACATTGAAAACACTCACTGGTTATTTTTTCAGGTAATAGGAATTCTCCAAGATAAATATAGGTAATTGTAACAAACGGCATGTCAATCAAAATAAAATACATTTCCCACAATTTTCTTTCGATCAATCTCACGATAAGTTTATGTTCTGCGGGCCCTGTAAAATAGGTGTGAAGTTTACCTCCACCACAATTTTTACCAATATATTTAATTCGAATGGGTTGCTGTAGGTGGATATTTGTGTTTTATCCTGGTTTTTGCTTTAAAACTTCGTTTTTCCATAATAAAATCGAATGGGGTGCGAAGAAGGGCTCAGTTGACGACTGGCATCCTTTTTTAACCGGAAGCCCTTCAAAAACAGCAAAATCGGCTCAATGATGATCTAAAACTAGAATCGAAATACGCGGTCGCCTTATAGTGCTATAAGCGCTTGTCGTTTCGAGCCGCTGGTTAGGCCTGACTAAGTGACGTCATCCACGGAGCATGCAGGCCTTGTTGTATCGGTGGTAACGGTCGAGCGCGATTAGTACTTGGATGGGTGACCATTCGAGGAAACACCGCGTAAGCCCGCACATCGGTAGCGAAATAGCATTGCATAGCTACAGCTACCATATTAATGAGCACAGGATATGGTACGGTTATGCCACCCTTCGGAGGGGACGTTAAGGCTGCAGCCCCGAGGCCATGGATGTTGGACTCATTAAAGATCCCTACCTCTGGTTGGAACACCAGATGATTCGACAAAATGCCCGGTTTGGGGGCAGTTACAGTCGGTAATTAGCCTAAATAGCAGAAAAAGGCCGACGTTAAAGAAACAAGGAAGAAGAAGGCCCAGTATCGCGATCTGGTGGACAATCAAAAATGTTAAATTTCATTGAATTAAATAGCCAATAGGGAAAAATGAGAATCAGTTAAATGTCAATAATTGTCAAGATCATCTTTGTTATCAATAATACACTCACTGTAATTTTTGGATTTACATAGTGAAATCGAACGGTTCAAAATCACTCCTCAGCTGCTGTATCAAGTTTTCTTCCATTTTTCTATCCATCAAACACTCCTTCCATTCAACTCTCTCAGGCATATTCAGAACAGGACCTGATGCAAGAACTTCTCTAGCAAAGTTCAGAGGAAAATTGGTGTTTCCCTGAATCTTTGTATATAACACCATACTATCTGGCAATTCAACTGTGAAATAAGGTACTTTAGGCGGCAAAACTTGGTCTAATCGATTGTGGGAATCTAAAATTTCCAATTTGAAACCCTGACTTTCAGATTCGTCCTGGAAAAAAATAAAAATGATGATTTGAATAAGCTACTTGCCTAATTGATGAAAACAGGTTTTATCAATATTGCATTTTGAGTATACAGTGCGGTCCATAAGTAACACATGAATTCATTTGAAATTCGAGTAAATATTTTTGACTTATTGAAAATATTACAAAATTAATCTTCCAATGGAATACCTCTGAATTCTATGGATCGAAAACTTTAGGAAGAATTCGAATGCTTGATGATAATATATGAAAATCCATTGAAGAGAAATCATCAATGACTTCATATTTTCGAAACGGTTCATGAAACAGGTGTAAAATTGTACACTTTGACGTGCTTCAACGTTCCACAATTTTTACGGGAAAATAAATTCTTCACATAATGAGCAAATTTCAAACATTTGAATTTCCATTCCTCTTTATAGTTTATGAAAATTCATTGAACACATATTTGTTTCTACCTCTAACTATTCATGGGGGAAAGTGTTTTTTTCGACCAATGCAGTTTTCGTCATTTAATGAACTACTAGCCAATAAAGACATAGTCACCTCTGTAATAATTAACCAGAATTCACTGTTCTGATGCGAGATTCGCAGGAATGGCTTTCGAATCAAGTTTGGTAGGTATTTAAGTATCTATCAATAACAATATATTATCATGCTGTCATGGTCATGGCTACTAGATTTCAATTAGAATTGATAAGAATTGCTTTTACAATGACAATAGTTCCATATTTCAGATTCACGCAACTATGATTGAAATATATTGCTAGTTAAGAAAAAAATGCAATATACACCTTGGTAGTAGAGAATATTATTACCACGGGACCTTCTACCCCTCGGCTGAAGCCTCGGCTGAAGCCTTGAGATGTAATGCTGGATCATGAGTAATAATGATATTCATAGATGAAAAATCCAAAGTCATCTCCACAACTTTTATTGAAATGATCAAAGATCATCAATGGTACATCTTTCGGGCTTATATAAGCCCATCATCAGCCGATAAAATAGTTCAAAGTTATGGAAGTGCAAAAAGTTGAAATTCAAATAACGTGGACAATAACAGAGCAAACAAAGGCAACTGCTCCATGATTGTTAATGTAAAATTGTGTTTTTATAAAGAGTATAAATTTTTTTTTTAAATTCCTATGAAATGATCATTCAAGGGTCGGGTTCATATTTTATAAGGGCCCACGTGCCCTTAAATCACCGAAAAGTGGCGATTACCCAAGAAAATATCAATTTTGATAGTTTGATATTTTCTTGGGTAATCGCCACTTTTCGGTGATTTAAGGGCACGTGGGCCCTTATAAAATATGAACCCGACCCTTGAATGATCATTTCATAAGAATTTAAAAAAAAATTTTATACTTTTTATAAAAACACAATTTTACATTAACATTGCTCTGTTATTGTCCACGTTATTTGAATTTCAACTCTTTTCACTTCCATAACTTTGAACTATTTTATCGGCTGATGATGGGCTTATATAAGCCCGAAACATGTACCATTGATGATCTTTGATCATTTCAATAAAAGTTGTGGAGATGACTTTGGGTTTTTCATCTATGAACTACACCACTCCACTTTGAATTACCATGGACTTCTTCCAAAGATTAATAATGATATTCTTTACTACCTTGGTGTATCTATATATTTCTTTCATGCAATAAAATTTTAGTTCAGCAAAAATTCGTGAACTTATTGTTCCAACTCCTCTACCATTTTCATGAGGTACTACTTAGAAAATCAGGGACGGCAGTGGCGAAGTGAAAGAGCGCCCGACACATGACATCGAGGTCTTGTGTTCAAATCCCAGCCAGGGCAAGGAATTTTTCCAATATTTAGTTTAGAAATCCAATATTGTAAAGTTTCATCTCATTGGCTGAGGATAGTTCTGTACGATTCACTGTTTGCTTTCCAATTAACATTGTTGCTATCCCTAAAGTGGCGCATGGAGTTAGTAAAAAAGCCTACACAGAACACACAGGAATAAATGAAGATGATATGGATGTGAGAATCAGAGAAGAAGTAGAACGTGTATGTAGTTGGGTGTTGTAACTACCAGTTGAGCGTGAGAGCGGTCCAATCCTACTTATTAGAGGGGCTCTAACAGGGTCTAAAGAGCAGCAAACGGTAGTGAGTACATTTCTAGCCTACAAAACACAACCGAAGATCTTTGAAAGAGAGCTGAAGGTACCTGAAAAGGGTGTTAGACAGTTCTTTCAATATATTTATATATTATACTAGCTAACCCGGCAAACGTTTTGCCATAACATCATTTCTAGAAAAAATGTTTTTACATAAATATTTATCAAAGAACTTTCATTATTTTATTTATACTTCTTTTTAGTTCTGCTATCCATGAAAACGGGATTCTTCATTTTTTCAAACTATTCTACATATTCTCTACTTCTTTTTAGATCGGCACTCTATATCTCTTCATTTATTTACTACTAACTTCTTTTTAGTTTATACAATGTATGTTGTCAGTTATGGAAAATAAATGATTTGATTGATTGATTGAGTTTGGCGATCTATAAAACGTGTTTCATTAGTTTTTGAACTACTACTTATTACAATAGCTGATGCTGATACCTGGCACACGTTGTTTTGCATTACACATTTTCTTCTAGGAAATATTTTTTTAGTTGAATATTCATCAACAGACTTTTATTATTTTGTTTTGAACTTCTTTTTAGTTTGGATATCCATGAAATCGTATTCCATTAGTATTTCAAACTACCATTTTTATTTTCTACTTCTTTTTAGTTCGACAATCTATCTCGTTTATTAAACTTTACTATCAATTTTCTACTTCTATTCAGTTTGACCTCGAGTTTGGCAATCTATAAAAGCGTGTTACTATTTATCACAAAGCTCTTTCACCATATTGGATCCGCCATCTTGAATTCCCTAATTTTAAAGAATAAAATCAATCTCCGACCCCGAAAACCCCCAGATACAGATTTTTAATAGAATCGGATCATAATTACAAAACTCGTCCGCCATATTGGATCCTCCATCTTTAATTTCCTCATTTTGATGAAAGAATCATAATCTCCGACCCGAAAATCGCCCAGATACAAATTTGGAATGGAATCGGATCATAGTTACAAAACTCGTCCGCCATATTGGATCCGCCATTTTGAATTTCCCCATTTTGACGAATGATTCATATCTCCGACCTCTAATTCTAATTCCCTAATTTTAAAGAATAAAATCAATCTCCGACCCCGAAAACCTCCAGATACCAATTTTGAATAGAATCTGACCATAATTACAAAACTCGTCCGCCATATTGGAACCTCCATTTTGGACTTCCAAATTTTGACGAACGGACCATAATCTCCGACCCCAAAAACCCTCAGATACCAATTTTGAATATACTTGGATCATAATTACAAAACTCGTCCGCCATATTGGATCCGTCATTTTGATTTTTTTTATTTTTATAAAAAATCATAATCTCTGATCTCGAAAACCCCCAGATACCAATTTTGAATAGAATCTGATCATAATCACAAAACTCGTCCGCAATATTGGATCCGCCATTATGAATTTCCTAATTTTGATGAAGAAATCATAATCTCCGACCTCAAAAACCCCCAGATACCAATTTTGAATGGAATCTGACCATAATTACAAAACTCGTCGGCCATATTGGATCCGCCATCTTGAATTTCCAAAATTTGACGAAAGAATCATAATCTCCGACCCCGAAAACCCCCACATTCTAATTTTGAATGAAATCGGATAACAATACTCGTCCGCCATATTGGATTCGCCATCTTGAATTTTCGATTCAAAAAATAAGTAACGACCGATTCTCATACCTACCGAATACGCACAAAAAAATTCATAAGAATCGGTCTAGCCGTTGCAGAGGAGTTCAACCACTAACACCATGAGCAGGACAGGAGAATTTTATATATTAGATTATTTGTAAAATTTGTATATCTTTACTTTGAAGTTGGAACTCAACACCCCAGAAGTCGAAACTTGTGCAGGGTTAGGAAGAGTGGGACCTACAGCTTGTAGTAGAACTTGAATCATTGTCTGGTGCCATGGTGCCAAGGTGATGCCAGGATTGCAATCAATATTCACACATTTTTTTGAAAAATGTCCAGCCAAGCTGTATTTGAACCCACAGTACCTTGGCATTATGAATGGCTTTCTAACAAGTTTTAGTGCTTTAGACTGAGGACACTCTTCTGTAGCAGGGGTTTATAATTATGTATTTTTAGTTTAACCTGTGAACTATTTATCACAAATACTGGCAGAAACAGAATGTTGATTAAAAAGTCCACTTATCAATTTATTACTTACAATAAATATGTCTTTCAATTCCCTGGTGGCATTCTTTGGGATAGGTACTGCCTGAAGTTGCATATGAGATGTTTTATAATTCCTCTCAAAAAATATGGGAACCTTTCCATTTCTTGCATAAAATTCTTTGAGGGCATCTTTAAATTGTTTTATCTCATTCAACACCTCAGCTGGCTGCCCTATACTGTTCTGGTAATGTTCTATTGGGCATATCAAAAAGTGTTCATCTACTAGAGCACCTTTAGCCAATGCTAAGTAGGCTGTAGTGCCTACACAAATGATCAGGTGCTTTTCTACTGAAGGGCTAGCAAGACAAAACCAACATTTACTTTGATCAAAATCAATTTTGGGCTTTTTATGCTTTTTTCTAGTATTTTCATCCTCAGGAATATTCATATCATAAAAATACTGCAGAGGGGTGGAAGATTTTCTCTTATTCCTGAAAACTGAAACAACATCAAGTTCATGAAAATATTTTAAAAACAAAAAAAATTAATTGTCACATGATTTATAGATAACAATATCTTACTTTTACTTTCCAAATCTTGAAAATTGAATGGACAAGGAGTTTCATCAGTACTCTTCTGGAGCAATTCACTCAATTTCATTTTATCTAGGGGAGTCAAGCTAAGTGCATAAATCCATTTTTCTTTATCTGAATTTCCTACTCTAGCTAATCCTAAGAATCTTGTAACACTTTCAAGAGTTGTATCATGGTCACCTAAACTTGGGCATCTGAATGGTGGTCTTTCATAGAATACACCTTCAAGACCACTGATTACATATCTTGGTTTCAATCTCATGCATAAATAAGCAGGAAGATCACTTGTAGCATTTTTAGATAATGAGATCTATAAAGTAAATAATGTTTAGTTTTCAGGTCCTGGAAATTAGATTTTGCTTTACCTTTTTAGATGTTTCTGAGGTTATATTTGAAGGCCATTGAGATGACAGTAAGAAATCTACACCTCTGAAGGTGGGATTGCCTCTAAGACAAGCATCACAAAGTTCAGTTACATCTTTTTCAGAAAAGGTCCATGAGCCAGAAGTGTTTGTTCCAGATACACCACTGATATAGGCAATTTTCAGGCCATTACTATCAGTATACAATCCACGTTTACCTGAAACAAGAAATTGACACACCTTGTAGGAGTTGTGGGAATGATGATAGCGGATATGGCAATTATGATCATATTGCAAAACATACCAAGATAATAAACATTAGGGCATAGCTCAAATTCTGCTTGGTCTGAAGGGTATTCTTTAACATGGTAATCTTCATTTGGACCCAGAATGTAAGTTGGCAGGGGAACTAAAAAAAATAAAACCATCTATAGTAGGTATTTGCAGAATATTTAAGGAAAGTTGTTCTATGCATTGAGGATGCATATTGAACATAATTATATCATTCTGGTCATTACCCTTCTTATCTCCTAACTTATAGGGGATGAATTCCTTATTATTGATGCCAAAGAAGTTTCCAACACACAACAAACTGTCAAAAGGTCCAGATTTTTTCATTATTGAATCTACCCTTTTGAACAAGCTATCGAATTTGCCTTCCACATCTCCACACACCAAACTGAAAAAATGAATTACTGTTAAGTACATCAACAAACAAAATCAGTTATGTGCCTTCATCTATAAACTTACACTTTGAGCTTCTCACTCATGATTTTCAAAGGAACATAATTAGGTAGAAATAAAACCAATTGATTGTACTTTTTGCAGATTAAATCCGACGTCCACAATGAAATATGTTTGATAATACATAGTTGAAGTTATCTATGTACATAACTGAATTAGATTCTTCAAATTCTATTCGGTTTATTAGAGATTAGATTTTCAGAAAATGAGGAAACCTAAAATCTTTCCACAAAAACGTCAAAATTCAAAACACCATAACCTCACAAAGTCACAGCAGCAGGGTTGTCAAGTCTACAGATTCTTCACAAAAAAATATTGCTCACTAGAGACAGGAGACAAAGAATAGTCATCGAGGGGGTGCGGGGTTGGGGGCGGGGCACAGATCACCTAGCGACGCGCGATTATTTTTTGCATTATTTTTTGTACCACTACCACTCAAAATAACATTTCAAAAAGAGATAAGACCTTATTGGCTAAAGGACTCAGGTCGATGGCCACTTTAAGATGACTAGCCATCTTACTACCTAGTTATAATCACAGGTTAAAATACCATGTACAGGGTAATCCATGCACGGAAGAGGCGCTCCACTAATATTTATATTAATTGATTCTTAAAAGTGTGACAAACCAAAAATTCATAGGTCGACTCAGGTCGACTATGGCTTCTACTTCCCCTTTGATTGCTTATTCTGCTTCAACATCTCCATACTGTTTGTCGAAAGCAATAGTCCAAACATAGGTCGATGGAATTATTGCTCAGGCCCTAATTCAGGAAGTTCAGATAGTTATATTTATATTGATCAAGATTCTGCTATAAGACATGGACTCAGTATTTATGCAACACAGTCTCAAGTATCTATGGCAACAATCTCGCTTCCATCAACCATCACCGGGTACTTTATGACCATCTTATTTATGACCAATATCGAAATGCTCGATTGATGCTCGATAATCAGTATCGGAATACGAAGATCTCTCTTCTTTCAAACTTATGTACTGATGTCATCATAGCTAGGACATGATATCAGCACAGTATACACCCTAGGCTAGGGTTAAGATGCTAGGGTGTATACTGTGGTATCTGAAAGCAGCACTCTCAGAGTTGTTATTTTTTCTTGTTGAACCGTGATCAAAACAGGTTGATGTTTCATTCGGAGGTCCGAAGCCGCCTTTGTCAATCTGCTGTCTAACTGCAAGGAGACTATATTGTCTCCTTGGCCTAACTGCAGCAAAAGTCGAAACTCCAAGTCTGTTCAGACATTTGACGGAGAATTTTCTGCCAATACGTTACCGCGATTGAATCACGACGTCATTCTGAAGAAGACGAAAAGTTCGTTCGAAAATAAGTATCAACATTGCTGGATGAGGGTATAATTGAAGAAAGCATTTTCCCGTGGCGAGCAGAGATACTAGTTACCAAAAATGAAAATAACAAACGAAGAATGGTTGTTCTAGTAGCTTGATTTCTTCCGCTTTCTGACAAATCGGCTAATAAGATGAAAGATGAGAATACGCTTCAAGCCAAAAAGCGGAAAGCCAGCATGTGAACTCGCCTTTCACAACATCAAACTTGTCCTGTCAAATGTCAATACTGTCAATGAAGATTAGGTTAATTTCATAATTTCATATTTTCATTTCATACATAAACCAAAATTGCAGTATTTCACCTCATAGTAAAAATTTCATCACTCTCATTGATGTAAAATAAAACAATGTTTTCACTGCAGAATCAAAATCAGGTAATTTTTTCTAGAATGCAATTCACCCAACTTGATTCTATTTATTTGCAGGCATTTGCTACCCTGACATTATTCTCCACGAAAATAAATACTAGACATAATGTTCATTTGAGGAAGAATTCCATAGAAAAAGGCAAAAGAGGAAAAACCTTCCTCTGTCAGGATAGTTTTCTGGAGACTTTGAAGAACTGTGATTTCTCATTTGCAAGACACCTAAATGTCAACTCCTTATTTGAAAACCACCTCCTCAAAAACTTCAAAGTTTCATATACTTCCAATGATAGCTTTTTTGAGAATAAGCATGGTTTTTCACAGAATGATTTACAAAAGTCTATTCCCACTCTGATTATGAGAAACAAGAAACATGTCATTATTCCTCAAGGATTTTATCAAAAGTTGGTTTCTGGATTATTGAAACATAACCAATATTCCTTCAACATTCAATTGAGAGGATTCAAGACTGATCGAAGTGTAATAGCTGAGCTTAATAGAAATCCAACAATGACAAGTCGGTTTAAACAAGCTTTGGGAATTCCTTTGACTGAAGATCCTAAAGCACCAAAAATACCTCCAACTAATTCAGAACAATTGAAACAGATACTGATGGCAGAAGGAACAATGAATGAAAGTGAGAAGCAACGTTTGAAAATAGCTTTTGCAGAAGGGTATCTTCTTGGAAATAACTCCACTAATAAGACTGGAAAGTCAACAAGATATTTGAAGATGGCAACACAAGTCCTCACTGTTTTCATATTCTTAGCTATTGTTGTAAGTCTGTTAGCTAGTGCAAGTGGATCTGTTTTCAGGTAAGTGAAAATTTTTATTTATAATTCATATTATCCTATTCATATTCCTGTACTTGCACAGGGTTGCCAGATTAAATTTATCATCAAACATTCAAGAAGGCTGTATTTTTCTAAAGAAAAATACATTTTTATAGGGAAGTGGCAATTATTTGGTGAATATCTTCCATACTAAGACTTATAATCATCCAAAAACAGGTATTAACTCTGTACTTGATGAAAAAAAAAGGTTATTTTTGGGCCAGACATTAAAATAAAATGATTTCCTATTGTAACATAAAATCGAATGTGAAGAAACATCTAATAGCCGTCAAGAAGAAAGCAATCGGAAGAGCCAAACATTTTCGTGGCTTGACTTACAAGACCCAGGGTATAAAGACAGCAACAGCTACATCAATATACAAAGCCATATGTCGACCTCTTATTGAATACAGCTACATCTTGTTCAGCACATGCAGAAAAACTACCCTAAAGCACATTGAAGTTGCAGAAAGAAGTTGTTTAAGAGCTATAACTAAAATCCGACATCCTAATAATCCCTTACATAACCCTCCCAATACCCTACTATACAATTCCACTAAAGTAGAACCCATCCTCCAACGACTACACAGACTCAGCACAAAATTCGCGAAGTCCGCCTACAATATCCCAGTGATGAGTCCACAAGTTATTGGGATGCCGGAAAACTACACAAGAAAAAGAAAATTTCCAGAAATAACCATTTTTCAAGGACTGATCCAGATGCAGCAAACAGGATAGCAAGAAAGCAATTAGCAATTAACTTTTTTTTTTTTCTCATTAAACTTTTATTACTATTATTATTAATATTCATACTTTATATATTATAATTGTAAACTGGGCTGAAAGACTTCGGTCAATGGCCTTTTGGGGTATATCCCTAATAAAGATGTTCTCTCTCTCGAATGTGAACCAATGAAAATGAAGTAAACAGACCACTTTGACAGCTTTCAAATCTCTGATAATATTCTATGGCGAATTCTTCAAGTAGATTGTAAAACAAACATATTGAGCTAATAACTTGAAGCCAGACTCCTATGTCTATACTACAGAGACAAAATGTCAACTCTGCAGACTAGACTATTACAACACCTGGAAATCTTGGTGGTCTATGTCATAGCCGTTTGACCAAGCTGTTTGACCGAGCCGTTTGACTGAGCCGTTTGACTGAGCCGTTTGACTCAGCCGTTTGACCGAGCCGTTTGACTGAGCCGTTTGACTGAGCCGTTTGACTCAGCCGTTTGACCGAGCCGTTTGACCGAGCCGTTTGACCGAGCCGTTTGACCGAGCCGTTTGACCGTGCCGTCTGACTGAGCCGTTTGACCGAGCTGTTTGACCGAGCCGTTTGACCGAGCCGTTTGACCGAGCCGTTTGACCGAGCCGTTTGACCAAGCCGTTTGACCGAGCACTTACCAAGCAGTTTGACTGAGCCGTTTGACCCAGCAGTTACCGAGCAGTTTGACCAAGCAGTTACCCAGCAGTTTGACCAAACCGTTTGACCCAGCCGTTTGACCGATCCATTTGGGAATATGGGAAATTTTCAATAAATCCAGTCAATTATTGTAGAACAAGGGATAGTTGAGTGAATATCATGATGATCCTTGCTAAATTGGGACGTCTGGCAACCCTGTACTTACAGAGTTGTATTCTCTTGGATTTATTTACCTCATTAGTTTTATTGATTTTGTTAGTAGTAGTAGAAACTACTACCAAATTCTAATGCATGCATGATTATATTCTCTTTTCTAATCACACAGTTAGGATTGTCACCAGGGTGTTCATAGCTGGAAATTCCAGAAGTAGAAGTAAATGTAACAACTTCAACAATATAAAATATTTTCATCAATACAGTGTTGCTACTTCTATCAGAAACAACTAGCAACTTTGTTATTTCAAACGGAACACCCTGTATTTCATTGCATTTTCAGATTCTTCCTGAAGATCTGATTTCATCAATGCATCACACTTGAGGTCTAGCAGGAATGATTACAGATATATAGGGTGTTCAAAATCAGGGTGATCAGAATTCTGAATCTTGAAGCACCCTGTATTTTTTCTAGTTAAATTCCAGTAGACAGTGAATCAAAAGTTAAGATAGGGACATGTAAGCTGTTTCCATAGATAATGAATAGTTTTGACACAAAAAAATCCTAAAATTGAAAAATCTCGATATTGAACACCCTATATCTCTGTAATCATTCCTGCTAGGCCCCATGATGAAATCAGCTCTTCAGGAAGAATAAAAAAATGCAATAAAATACAGGGTGTTCCAGTCGAAATAACAAAGTTGCTAGTTGTTTCTGATAGGAGTGGCAACACTGTATCGATGAAAATATTTTAGACGGATAGATAATTTTCAATTATTGAAGCATCCCAATTTTCACAATGTTCTGTCTTTTCATTCTCCAGATACTTCTAATAGGCCATCCACTGTGGATCTGTATAGTCTGTATAATATTTCTCTGCATGTGCGTCACAACGTCAAGATATGTATCAAATCAATTTAAGGTCAGATGTTTCAGACAGTGCAGTAATGTATTGGAAATGGATTTAAAATGCTAGTATTCAAGTACTGTATGCCTCTGCAATTGCTGGCTCAAAAGTTTCCACCAGTTGCATTCAAAAAATATGTCATGACTTATGTCAAGAAAGGTCATGATAGAAATTGCTACTATATATTCTACTCTGATAGAGGATAGCAAGTTGTGCATTGGTCTTAGCTAATTTCATTCATTGGCAAAGAAATATCATACAGACTATATACCATTAATACATTAATATATTGAGTTGCAACAATTTTATAAAGAAGTAGGTAAATGCTTCAAATGAAATATGTGAGACATTCCTTATTGAAAATATGAGTGAAAAAAACTTCCACAATACTGATGTAAAAGCACTCATTCTAGGTTATCCATACCTGGGTCTTTAATTATCATATTAATATGAAATATTATTATTATCTAACAGATTATCTTTTCCCTATTTTGTTTCATGGAACTCCACATCTCACCTTCACAATTAAAATCTGAGATTTGAATATTTTCAGAAGTCTGAACATTGTAATGACTCAGATTTGATGAAATTGTGTTTATTCATATTCATATTCATATAGCATACTTGTTATCTATTCACTCATTGGATTTGAATGTGGAAGGGGAAATTAAACAAAAGTGATTTTATAGAACCTGCATAATTTGTATGCTGTAAAATTGTTGGTCTAAAAAATATGATGAAAAAAACTATATTTCTGAGGTTCAGATTTCTTATAATACTGTTTCTTACTGACAAGCGGGGGTTATTAGGTAATCTGCGTGAGGCGGGAGTTATGGGGAGAGACTTCCCAACATGGGTAGGGTTAACAACCTCTAGCAACCCTAATCACCCAATCATATCTTCCAGACTACTTTCATATCCAATGATTCAATATGAAAATATTTATAGATTGGAAAAGAGGATGATCATCATGTTCATTTTCGTTTAAAAAGTAACAAGACAATTGATTTTTTTCTAAAAAAAGAATTTTACTTTTTTCGTGAGAGATGCCTATCTGTAGCAATGAATGGGTTAAGGTTAGAAACCGAGGGGCAAATAACTCTCATAAAAGTGTACACCATATTCAAAGTATGTGATATTTGTAACTAATGAAAATATTTCAAAAACATTTCAAAGTAATTAATGTAATTGAGAAGTGCTCAAGAGTAATCAAATGATTTAAGAAGTACTGGAGAGTAATTAAAGGATTTAAGAATTAATCGGAATACTTAAATACATTGAAAATATATTCACTATACTTTGACAGGAATTGAGAAGTATCCAATGATATTATAAAGTTATTTGAAGTAATGAAGTGGCACTCAAGTATTGGCAAAGGAATTAAATAGTTATTTATTATACAAGTGAAAAAAGTGACAGATTTTAGCTCCAGGTTGTGTCTCCTGGCGTGTAGCGGAGGGAGAACGAAAAACCTTGAGCTAAAATCTAATATTTTTCCCGTGTATAATACTAAACTATTTTTTTCTGTGACAGTTCTTTTTCGGAGATTTATTGGCTTATTTTGGCAAAAGCCATCAACAGTGTATATATATGTGATATATATCCGGGAAAATAGTACTCACTTTTTTCCCTTGGGAAAAAGTAATTTATGATAAGTGACATTTCATAACCTGTCGACAGAGATGGGATTTCAAACTCTTTTCCCGTCACAGAAAAAAGTATTTAAAGATGATTGAAATAATTACAATATATAATACATATACAGGGTGGTGAATTTTTCGATGCTCACCATTGGGACCTCGGAACTGGTAAGATTACGAGGTTGGTGAATTTGGTCAATAAAACTTGAGTACTGTACTGATAATGTAATTAAAATATTCTGAAAGTAACTAAAATATGATTAAACTACACTTGAAATGTAATTAATATACTCTTAAAGTAATTAGAATACTGAAAAGGTATTGAAATTATTCAATAAATAATCGGAGATACTGAAGATACTGAAATGGCAATTTACAAATAATTAAAATAATGAAAAGATATTTGGAAACTTAATCAAGTACTTACCTAAAAACTCGTGATGTACACCATATTTAGAGAGTTGTTTGCCCTTCATTAGAAACTAAATCAAGGATTTACAGAATTCAATTGGGCAATCAAGTGGAGGTTGATCCTGAGGAAATTCATGTGACATTTGATGATGTCAAAGGAGTGGATGAAGCAAAACAGGAACTCAAAGATGTTGTAGAATTTCTGAAAAATCCTGATAAATTTTCAACCCTTGGTGGAAAACTTCCAAATGGGGTCCTGCTGGTGGGTCCTCCAGGTAAACTATTATTGATGTGAGATTTCTTGCTGAAATTGTCTAGTTTAATGATGAAAGTGTCATATCATTTATCTGAAACTGGTGTTTGACAGTTTACATCAATCATTATGACTTTAGGTTTTGTCTCATTAGTTTTAATCATTTCTGATCTGGATTTTATAAGCATATATCGTCATAGTTATGCTATAAATTAGGAGGGTCATAACTCCCTTGGGAAATTATGGATTCTATAATTCCCTCTACATGAAATTGAATGAAAAATGCATAGCAACAACCTATAAACCTTAAATCTCTTAGAATCAGCGGTACCTGATTCAAATATAGCAGGAAGGTAATGAATGAAATCGCTCAGAAATAAAATTATCTAGGCATCAGGAAAATTAATGAGCCCTAATAACATCAGGCAATTACCTCGTTAATTAAGGCCCTTATAATTCCCTTGATACATAAATAACTATAAGGTGGGTGGGTTTTATCCCATTGATTTTAGGCATTAACATTTCCAAATTCCTAAACATACCAAAATCAGTCCGTCCATTAACACAAATACAGAAGAAAACGCTCCTCTTAAAAAATATGTGATGTATAAAAAGGTATATATTCCTATGCTAACCGGCATACCGAACACTGCAAGGAGAACATCTTCCGATAAGGCCTGGTTCAGTAGAAACTGCTCTAGAGCTGTCGCTTCCAAGCAGGCAGCATTCCATCGATGGCACAAAAATCCAGGCCCTGAGACTAAAGCAGAATATGTCGAGGCTAGAGGAATATGCAATGAGACAATAACGGATCCTGTTCATTTTGGTCCTTCGCCAAAGCTGTAGGAAGAAACTTCACTACCAGCTCGTTTCCCCCTCTAACCAAGGAAGATGGAACACTAGCCACAACTGCCCAGGAGAAAGCCAACATTTTTGCGCATTTATTTGCTGGAAATTCCACTCTGGATTCATCGGGAAAACAACCTCCAAATATAACGCCAATTGACAGTCATATGCCCGAGATCACCTTTCGCCAACGTACTATAAGGAAGATTTTATTGGGTCTCGACACCAACAAAGCTTGTGGATCCGACGGAATCCCACCGATCGTTCTCAAGAAATGTGCTCCCGAACTAACACCTGTTCTCTGCAAGTTGTTCAACTACTCCTACAAATTGGAAATATTCCCGTCCAACTGGAAAATAGCAAGAGTACAACACCAGTTTCTTAAAAATGCAAAAAGGCCCTACCTAACAATTACAGACCGATCGCACTGCTATCTATTATTTCAAAGATCATGGAGAAAGCTATCAACATCGAGCTCATGAAATACCTGGAACATTCTGGTATTATCAAAGATAGGCAATATGGCTTCCGTCACCAGAGATCAACTGGTGACCTGCTTGCTTACGTCTCACATATATGGCAGCAATCTATTGAAAAATATTGTGAAACCTTAGCCATGGCACTTGATATCTCTAAGGCATTCGATCGAGTCTGGCACCACGGGCTCCATATCAACGATTTGTTGGAAGTAACTTCATGTCCAGTACACAGCTTCGCGGATGGATAGTACCCTCCATACCGCCTTCTCTTCCAGGGCTCCAATTCCAGCCAGGCAAATCAGAAACGAGGGAGAAATGTTGACAACATAAATATGGACTTGGCAACAATTCTTGAATGGGGATTCAATAACTTGGTAGATTTCAATGCAAACACAAGCATGCCTTTTCTCTAGAAAAGCCGATCTCACTGTGCCCAACATAAGCTTGTCAGGAGTAACCATACCTTTGAAGACCTCCATTTCGATGCTTGGGATTACTGTCAGCAATAACCTTTCTTGGGAAAATCACGTGAGATCAATTGCTAAAAGTTCATCCCAAAAACTTGGTTTTCTGTTTCGGGTCAGGAATAAGGCACAGATCCGACCTGTTCTGGAATACTGTTCCCATATTTGAAGTGCAGCTACCAAACATACCCTGAATCTGATGGATTCTGTCCAAAAAAGGGCAATTCGTCTCGTGGGTGATTCCTCGCTCACAAACTCACTCACTTCTATGGAACACCGTAGAAAAGTTGGCGATCTGGCGCTAATTTATAGATATTTTCATGGACGATCCTCTTTTGAAATATCAACAATTGTTCGTCCCTTGGCAGTCCCCGCGAGATTAACCCGTCGAGTTGAGGCTTCGCACCCCTTTGTGGTCACTTTGGAGACCTGCAGAACATCTCTTTCCAAATACTCGTTCATCAAACGAACAGCGAGGCTCTGGAACACATTGCCAAGGGAGGCGCTCCCCGAGGCATATAACCTCCATAAATTTAAGATGAACACCAACTCCTACCTTATTTACCTTGGTTCTCACGATGTTCTCTAAACATTACAGGATATCCCTTTTCGTGGGAACCAGAACATAAAAAAAGGTTAGTGAATGTCTCCATTTCAGAAGTAAATGCCAATAAAGAAGTCAATATCATAAAACGGATGCAACGTTAATTTGATAGACAGTATTCTTTATAAAAAAACTCCGTACTAAAGCAATTCAAGAGGTTTATTCCACTATCTGAAACAATAATCAAAATTATAGAGCTTTAATCTATTTCGGATCATCAACTGAAAAATTTGCCTCATTTCCACATGAACAATACATGAAAGCTCATTAGAAATCAACCAACGCAAAAATTCAAACATATTATTCAACGATCAACTAGAATTTGTTTTCTCAGTATATAATAATATGTATTCGTTTTCAACCCTTAGGAGTTGATACGTTACATCGTATTTTGATGTGAATATTGTGCATTGGTAGAGTAGCATATAAAATTCAGGCAAGCCAATGTGAGTTGAGTTCATTGTACTAGTACTTCACCTGAAGAAGCTACTGTTTTAGCGAAACGTCGTGTGATTGAGAATTTTGCGAAAATCGTATCGTTTGTGAAGTTTCTTAAATTTTCATTCCTGAAAAATATATAAACAAGGGGACGAAAAAACTTACTACAAATTATAGACCAATCGCATTGACAAGTATAGTCAGCAAATTATTAGAAAAATTTATTGGATTCAAAATCACAGCTTCTCGAAAAACATAAGCTGCTATCAAGTTATCAGTTTGCTTTTTGAGAAGGTATGTACCAGTATAATGGATGCGTTGTGCTGTGTGATCGAGCAAATTTCACGAGGCTTGGACGGCGATAAAAAACTATCGGTATCTTTCTGAACTTGGCCAATTCGTGGAATTGGAAATGACCTTTTTGGGTCTTGAATGAAAACAAACTGGAAATTTCACGTTAGCTATGTAACCACCAATGTTAGAAAACTAATCTAAAAGCTGAGGCATACTTTGAATATAAAAATCTTTGAGAATAGTGTATTGTCCACTAGTTGAGTCTATTATCAACTATGGGCTGGTAGTTTGGAATAATGCTTACAAAAGTACAATGTCATCTGTTCATGTAGAAAATTATTTTATACAAGACTAGACTGTTCTCAACCGATTTGTTATTTCAAGAAATCAAATTGCAGGGTGAACTAGAGGCCAATTACCTCCATACGAAAATGAGTTTCTTCAATATTTCGAAATCCTTGAAAAGTACTGCTCTGAAATTAGTTGGGCAATTTATTATAGTGAATGTGCATGGAAAACATTTCGTACCAATTCAGTCTATATACAGGGAGTTGGATTTTTCGCATTCTCTTTGATAAAAATTGATGGAACTTTTATGCAGCACGGCAATCACCACATTTTGATATTTCAGAGAATGGCGAAATCAATTATCTCACTTTTTCTAACTGTAGTTTTTGTATGATTCTCCTTCGTTTCCGAGATAATTAACAAAATTTTGGAGCTGGTCATTTCCAAATTTAGCTCAGGATTTCTGGTAAACTTTATTCCAGAAAAATAAATGAATTTGAAGATGATAAGCAACATTATCATATGCTATAAAGTGGTTCATAAACATGATTATTATGGCCAATTACTCGCAAAACATAATTGTCATAATCATAAACAAGTATGCAGGAGCACCAAAATGAATTTTGTTAAATATCTCGAAAGCCAAGAAAAATTATAAAAACACTGCAGTTTGAAAAAAGTGAGATAATTGATTTTGTCATTCATCGAAATATCAGAATGTGGTCGTGCCGTACTACAAAAAGTTACATTGATTTTGAAAGAGAATGCAAAATACCTAACTTCATGTATATTGATTGAGCTAGTACATGTTTTCCATGCACATTCACTACAGAAAATTGCTCTACGAGTTTCAAAGCACTACCGTTCAAGGATGTCGAAATATTAAAGGGAATCTGGAAATAAAATCGTTCTTCATCGCCCTCTCACGGCTCAACTTTACATTTTCGTATATTGTCACACCTGTGACTAGTGTGTGGTATAGGACGTAGCTTTAGGGGTTAATTTATGCATTCATGACTTGGAAATAACGAGGCAATAACATACAATGTGAAACAGTTTATTTAAATTGAATGAACCAAAGGGAAAGACTACTAATTATGAAGATATAAAAGAGCAAGATCTAATTGCGTTACTCACGTGACAAGGTTGGATCCTGAATTCTGCCTTCGATAGGAATGTACGTTAGTTTTTTTTTTACCACGAAATGTAAATTATTGTAAATTATTCGTTCCTGTCAATAAAATCTATTATTATTATGATTATTATTAAATACCATCTGACACAAGGGTTACTCAACAGGGTAGAAAGGTGTCAAAACCATGACCTCATCGTTGGGCTCGGCAAATACGACTGTCCCTCTGATTGATTTCCATACTCCTCAAGTTAACTATAATTATTGATGATCAATTCAGTATCAGCAAGCAAGTACAATGCCCGCATGAAATGAACTTGCCTGGCTGAAACTGCATATCGGAAATGGAAGTGAAATATGAATTTGAATAATATCTATCGTGTTGGATAAAATGATTTTAGGAATTGATTTAATATTTGGTTCGTGAAATCAATCAGATCATGGAATCTTTCCTGAAGCTTGACACTAATTTGGTCTCTAGTTCACCCTATACAATTCATGGTACGTTGTTCTGGGACACCTTATATATTAAATCTACTATTGGATTCATGATTATGAAAAAATATTACCGAAGTGATCTACAACACGAACTGAATACAAGGGCAGCAGTTAGACAGAATATCCTAGTTCCACATGTGGCGCGTTCAGCAACCCAAGCGCACATTGTTTATATCGGGCCAAAAATGTATGTCTTACCATTGCACTTCAAGCACTGTACAATGAAACAGTAGCTACAATTCCATTATTACATATTGTCACAACTCAGATGTTGACCCTCCTATAGGTCGTGACTTAGCTACTCGCTTGGCTTTTTGACGAGAGGTTTTGATCATTTCACCACCCAACCATATTCATCCCCAAATAAAGAGACCGGACAATTTTCATATAAAATTAACATTTATTGATTAAATGAAAAGGTCATGAATAAATGCTGCCACATGGCAGGTTATCAAAGGAAAAAGAACAACGCAAAACAACACTTGGAAAAAAACAGTACTCACATTGTAACGTCTAGCAGGTGGTTGACCAGCAGGCTTGAGGTTGGGCTTGCGAACATTTTCAATACTAAAATGACTTTTGTTGATAATGAATGATTGCCTTATCGACTCGGGTACTATTTATATTCGGAATCGATGCTAGGTTCGCAATTTTCCGCAATGAGAATGGTCGTTACCTTTCGATACTGCTTACCTAGTTATTATCGCGCGGTGAGCTTTTTTTGCAAATTATAAAGGAACTGACGTCTATGAACTCCGCTGACCTGATCGAAACTACAATGTACTGAATGTTTTAATTTGGAAAAGTTGATTTATAGTAAAAGGTCTTGAAATGAACAGGAGTTTGAGTGATATTAATTAATAACATGAAAATATTTTCAGGAACCGGGAAAACCCTGTTGGCAAGGGCTGTTGCAGGAGAAGCAGGTGTACCATTCTTTCATGCTGCTGGACCTGAATTCGATGAGGTTCTAGTTGGACAGGGAGCAAGGCGAGTTCGAGATTTGTTTAGTAAGTAAATTTATCTATTGGAGGTTATTTTATTTTTCAACATTTCACAAGCTGATTCATAAAAGATCAGTATCCCATTCGAGACAATTCATTGTGATAGTTAATTTTTTACATCTTTTGGGGCGCACGAAAGAGAATCCTTATTATGTTCGTGGAACACCGTGCGTACCTATGGAGGATAGGGAAAAAAATTAGATATTTAACTTTTGGGGGTTATAAGTACTTGGGAATACTTCCCTAGGCAAAAAATTCAAAATCTGAGAGTTTCCAATATATGGCAGCGCCAATATCCTTTTTTCAATGAACAATAAAGGCCTACAACAATCTTAGAACCTAGTTACACACAAGTACCTCACCATACATCATATCATTTCAAATTAATATTGACTTAAAACAAAACTCCATATCTCAAATGGGAGTCGATATGAGCAAAGTATACCATTTTTGGCATATCTTGACACCAGTTTGCTCATGAAGTTGTTCTTAGTGCAAAACGCCCAAAGGTTAATTTTTCCTTAATTTTTCGGTATGTTCTTCATATATATTATTACTTGATTAACAACATATAATTCTTCTTGCAAGTTACATTTCATTATTTTTTCAAGTTCAATGAGGGCTAACATGTTTACTCTCACCAGTGGGCGCTACTTAAACATGAGGTCCATGTCAAAGTCAAAAATCCCAAAATTTTGCCAGATAGCCCTAAAAGCGATGGCCTGTTATATCAAAAATATTCGAAAAGAATGATGTAATATATTTGAACAAATAGGAAACCTCAAGTTATCACGTTTTTCACTCAAAATGTGGAACTTCACGACCAATTTTTACATTGACGAAAAAAAAAATATCATACCAAAAGGCCAAATGACACGAAAATAAGAAGGTCTACCAACCCTGACCTCATGGTGGCGCGGTTTGGTGGACAATAAATAATGTTAGTTAATTATTTCAACTTACTTTGGTGTCAACTTCAACTACCCACTGCATTATTCTTTGCAACCTTAGTTTAAACACCATATACAACAAAGATAACAAAGACATTGAATTACTAGTCCAGCCAGTTCCTAATTGACAAAACTACAAAGTAGGAGAAGTTATTATTGATACATTATCGTGAAATCGAATAATTTGAAGGAGGCGAAGAGTTGTGCTTAAATACAAAAAAAATATCCTTTGGACAAAAATCTGCAGAATTTCGACGATTTTTCATATAATAGAATATATCCTTATTTTTAACAGAGGCAGCAAAGAAACGTGCTCCATGTGTGATATTCATTGATGAAATCGATTCAGTGGGTTCTAAAAGGACTAACAGTGTTTTACATCCGTACGCCAATCAAACGATCAATCAGTTGCTGAGCGAAATGGACGGTTTTCACCAAAATGAAGGTGTCATTGTTTTGGGGGCCACGAATAGGAGAGATGATTTGGATCAGGCTTTGCTGAGGCCTGGTAGATTTGATGTAGAGGTTCGTATACAATTGTAAGTCTCCGAGGAATGACTCAATTTAATTATTTCATATATTTAAGGTTACTGTCCCCACACCTGACTATACAGGTAGAAAAGAAATTCTGGGATTGTATATGGGAAAAATATTGGCCAAAGATGTAGACCTAGAACTACTAGCGAGAGGAACCACAGGCTTTACAGGTGCAGATTTGGAGAATATGGTCAATCAGGCAGCTCTGAGGTTCGTTTTTAGGTTTATACTTTTATTGGTAACAGCCTTTTCTCTTCAACAATTATTAGGTCCATTTTCAATGCAGCATCTCTTTTCCACAGATGATAGATGCAAATAAATTATTTATATATTATTTAGTTATCAGTCAGGTGGATCTCAATCTTTGCCCCTATGCATAATAATATTATTATTGATAATGAAAGAAGCCCTCTTAAGATAAATAAACTAATATATATTTCAATATATCCATCGCCATATCTAGAGATTGCCCATGAATGCCCATTTGATCTCCGATGACGAAAATAATATCGTTTATAATTTCTGAGGTGATAGGCCTATAGTTACTTAGCAGATTATTCTTCCCAACTTTTGTGGATTGGTTGGAATCTAGCAGAATGGAATAACACCCGACTGTCTGGTACACACGTTTTGAGAACGATGGATGGAATTTCATCAGGACAGTTAGCCTTATCTACAAACTATTTTATTATTCACTTGGTGATAGAACAGGGCTCACAAATCTTTTTGTCCAATAAAGATATCATTATTATTGTCATTATAATTTACCGAGCGCTTCAGTTCGGAGCAAGTACAAGTAGCACTGGCTTGGTTCTTTTATACATAGTGGTCCAGCACAAAGGAGTGGAAATCAATCATTTGACAAAGACAATGACAGAGACATTGTCTACATGGGCGTTTTCCATAACAAATCTATCCTTAACATTTCCAATGCAAATTCCAGGTGGATTTGAATTTTTTGTGAATAGAATAGAATTCATTGATCCCATAATATCAAATAATGACATGAGACAGGTCAAAATGAACAAATTAAAATTGAAAAGTCTAGCCAAAACTAGAGCATTCACCCTAAATTATTAAAATTGGCCAATGATATAGGTCAACAAATACAATATACAATAACATAATACAAAACTATAAACATACAGGTACATAAAAAATTCAGATCAAAGTATACAGTGTGTCCCACTTACCATGCTCACCATGGGTATCTTTTTAACGGTGTGAGATACGAGGTCGGTTAAATGACACCAAATGTGGAGTTTGTCAAGGCCAACTATAATGTGAAAAAATATTTTGATAAAATCTATTCGTTTTTGTTTTGTACGCGAAAAACAGATTTTGATTATTTTCATGTCTCCTCCGTAACTTCTTTATTTATGAAAATATTCAAATAGGAATTTCACATTCTCGTGGCAGTTTTTCGAAGTGATTTCGAAAAAAATATGAAATTTATACCAACTCTTCTAGAATTTGATATATCAGCACCAACTTTAGTTTTACAAATGTCGGTCATAGCTCACTATGACTTAGTTACAAATAACTTTTTTTTCTCTTACAGATGATATATCGCAGTAATAGTTTTGTGTTGATAACAACGGAGTTATCGTCATTTATACAAAAACAAAAAATTATTTGGAAGCCGCCATCTTGAATTTATAATTCATTTTACTTGGTTCTTTGGGATTTTCTCTCCTCGTTTCTATAAAATAAAAGTATTCGTATTATTTCAATATATTTGTAGAGGGACAAATCAGATGATTTGCCCCAAAATGTCACTGCGTTTAACAAATTTTTCTATCAGGGAGTCTAAAAGAAAAATCCAGTAGCTTGTCAGTGACAATTTGTTTGAAAAAATTTTTGAAGGAAAGAAATATAGATATATTGAAAAAATATCGAATTTGTACTTATCTTTGGACGTTTCGGGACCGATTCTGCTCCCGTTCTCAACATGTAAATGCAAATTATTTTTCTTTGAAAATTGTGCTGCTTATAGTTTGACACTTTTCAGTGTCATACTGATGTTGGCATATGAATGAGTGATTTTAGTCTACAAATGAGTTACAGGATGTTTTCATTAATTGATCTTGAATCTACCATTTTCATGTTCAGTTTTCAGTAGTGAATACCATGTTCTATCAATATCAACTGAACAGGAAGCAATGCTATTGTCTCCGTTTAGAAGAATGCAAGCGGATTCCTTTATTTTTTTTTTGTTTGTTATCTTCCTTTCCTATGATTTTGATATTATTCCACTGTGCCATATGTTGTCCATCTTCAGTTGATATTGATAGAACATGGTATTCACTACTGAAAACTGAACATGAAAATGGTAGATTCAAGATCAATTAATGAAAACATCCTGTAACTCATTTGTAGACTAAAATCACTCATTCATATGCCAACATCAGTATGACACTGAAAAGTGTCAAACTATACGCAGCACAATTTTCAAAGAAAAATAATTTGCATTTACATGTTGAGAACGGGAGCAGAATCGGTCCCGAAACGTCCAAAGATAAGTACAAATTCGATATTTTTTCAATATATCTATATTTCTTTCCTTCAAAAATTTTTTCAAACAAATTGTCACTGACAAGCTACTGGATTTTTCTTTTAGACTCCCTGATAGAAAAATTTGTTAAACGCAGTGACATTTTGGGGCAAATCATCTGATTTGTCCCTCTACAAATATATTGAAATAATACGAATACTTTTATTTTATAGAAACGAGGAGAGAAAATCCCAAAGAACCAAGTAAAATGAATGTACCACCTCCTCGATTAACCTACAGACAGTATTGAATTTATAAATTTTAACAAAAAATTCATGATCTCCGACCTCAAAAACCCCCACTTACAAATTTTGAATGGAATGGAAGCAGCCATTTTTTTTAATTTCAACAAAAATTCCATAACTCCGATCAACTTGAAATTTGGCAGGTGTTCATAATTTCGGTGACAATACATTATGGAGTTTTTGTTGAAATTTAAAAAAATGGCTGCTCCAAGATGGCGGACAAGATTTGGTCCGATTCCATTCAAAATTGGTGAGTGGGGGTTTTTGAGGTCGGAGATCATGATTTTTTTGTTAAAATTCATGAATTCAAGATGGCGGCTTCCAAATAATTTTTTGTTTTTGTATAAATGACGATAACTCCGTTTTTATCAACACAAAACTATTACTGCGCCATATCATCTGTAAGAGAGAAAAAAGTCATAGTGAGCTATGACCTACATTTGAAAAACTGAAGTTGGTGCTGATATCTCAAATTCTAGAAGAGTTGGTATAAATTTTATATTTTTTTCGAAATCACTTTGAAAAACTGCCATGAGAATGTGAAATTCCTATTTGAATATTTTCATAAATAATTTCCTTGCAATAACCGATCGGAATTCTATTAGTTACCAATATTCTCAATATCTGATTCGGTTTCACAGAGCAGCAATAGATGGCGCCGAAAGTGTGGGCATGAAATACCTCGAATCGGCCAGGGACAAAGTCCTGATGGGCCCAGAGAGAAAGTCTCGCATACCCGACGAAGAAGCGAACTTGATAACTGCGTACCATGAGGGCGGTCATGCCATCGTGGCGTTTTACACGAAACACAGCCATCCCTTGCACAAGGTGACGATAATTCCCAGGGGGCCCAGCCTGGGCCACACAGCTTACATTCCTGAGAAAGAGAGATACCACGTCACGAAGGCCCAACTTCTCGCTATGATGGACACCATGATGGGCGGTAGGGCAGCGGAGGAATTGGTTTTTGGACCAGAGAAAATCACGTCAGGTAAACTTGTGATACATATTTGTAGATTTTCTTAATTAAAAACTACTGTTGTGTCTATGTTATGTGCATGAAGAGTTAGAAATCACTATGAAGTGAACAACCTAGCTTATCTTTGCAACCCAAGGAATCCAAGAATGATGAGTTTTACTGTACCTCTTTCAGCTGAATCCAATTTGATTTCAATATAATAATAAGCCATTACAATGATACCTAGACAGTCCCTATTTTTTTGTAACTGTATAAAGCTCAACTCAAATGCCACTAGAAATATCATCTAGATCAGGGTTACTCAATGTGTGCTCTAAAAAGCTTCCGGTAGAACTCCACTGTATAAATTTTACTTGTTTCTGGAGTAACAGTTACGCAAAAATAATTATTCAGATCATTTTTAATAACAGTCGTATGTGACTCGATTCACAATTCTAGCGAATTCACAAAGTTGTTAAAATATATTTATGGCATGTGACACATCATTAGCAAGAGGATAGACTAGAGAACTCTTGAGGGAGTTGGAAGATCCTGGTCGGTTTTTTTGTAGCCATGTAAAGTGACAGCTTTAATTTGAGTTTTACATATTTCAAAACTTTGCGAGTAAATAAAAAAAAAGAAACTAGATGACTTATGTCACTAGTTTTGTATTTTAAAGTATTCTGACACGATACACATCTGGATAAAATTAAAATTCAGAGTCTACGCCTTATACTTTTTTTAAAATTCCTATTTGAATGTGGAATTTAGGTCTTTTTTTGATTAAATAAAAAGACCATTAAAAATAACCCACCGGACATGAAAGGTGTTAACTAGTCTTAAAGGATAGCAGATGACCCCTTCATTCGACCTTTTCAATTTGTCACATGATGCACCAAACACCCTGTATATAGTTCTTCCTATCCTATATTCGACTGGTTTCTCAATAAATTCTGATAATGTTGATAAATCATGGAAACCATCCATCCTTCTCAAAGTGGTCCAGATTTTTTCAAAGAAAAAACATAAACGCAAAGTCGGTCGACCACAAAGTGGTCTTTGAATGTTGATAAAGTTGAGATAGGTCAACACACAAAATAAAATTATGAAAACAAAATAACATTTCTTATTTGGCAATGCACAGGCTGCGCCTTTGTAGACTCTGATGACTCTGCTTTCGAGTAGGGTTACTATAGGCGAACCTGAGTTAGTGATCGAGTAGACAACACCGAAGTTTACGATCACGGGTATGCAACTCGGGTTGGGTAAACGTACGTGCAGGTTTCTGAAAACGCTTAAAGTATGTCTGAGAAGTGACACACTAACTAGACAAAAGAATAATATTTTTGCATCTTTTATGTTGAAAACGGGAGAAAATTCGTTCCCGAAACGTCCAAAGTTTAGTAAAATTCGATATTTTTTAAATACATCTATATTTCTTTTCTCCATAAATCAAAACAAAGTGTCACTGACAAACGATTGGATTATTCTTTCAGGCTCTAGAAAAAATTTGTAAACGCAGTGACATTTTGGGGCAAATCTTTTGATTAGTCCTATCACAGGTATATTGAAATAATACCCATATTTCAATTTTGTAGAAACGAGGAGACAACACCCCAAATAATTTAGTAAAATTAATAAATATAGTTTTGGGACGAATACTTTATAGTTATAATAATCTTTATAAGGACAAAAATCATAGAAGTTCTTCAAAATCTGCTAATAAAGTCCAGGCAAAATTGACAGCAAGTAAATTTTTTTCTCTAGTAGGGTGATGATATTCCAAATGCATTTTTCTCGAAAACGTTGCATCCTATTGAAATGGGTCGAGAGGAATGTTTTCGTGTGATAAAACTGCACTACAATATTTCCTGCTCAAAAATGCAAAGAAGTTACCTACCTACTGCAAATTGTTCTCAAGTAATCCGTTTTACTCATTCTGACTTTCATAAATAATATTTTATTTTGCATCTGGTACAGTCAAATGCAAAGAACATGAACCGCCCCTGTGCCACATGTTTATTACATCTGACTGGTACAGCACAAGGAATTCAGTACCTACACCAAATTTCGTTCAATCACCTCTCGACGATGATCACGTGGTGGTGATGACGCCAAGAACAGTGAAATGAACTATAATAAATTTCTCATCACTCATTTTCAATTGTTTGACGAATTATGAACTCGTAAGTTCAATTTATAGGATATCTGCTCAGATTGATACGTAGTTTTAAAAGAAGCAGCTGGCTCACGTGTGCTTTGCCAGCTGCAGATTGATCTGGTCAATTTTGTTATAGATAAGTTATGCTCCATTAAGGAATATCAATCATATAAGTAGGTACCCTATAAAATGAGCTTACAAATTCACGCCACGACTCGTTAATTGATAACAAAAGGAAGTGGAGGACCGCGCACTATTCCAAATTCGTGGCTTACTCCCCAAAATAAGAGGACAAATTTACAAAAAAAAATCATAATAATGCGAAGGTGTTTTTGATTTTTTAGGGGCAAGTTCTGATCTGAAGCAGGCTACTTCAATCGCTACACATATGGTCAAAGATTGGGGAATGTCTGAAAAAATTGGTCTTCGTACTATGTCTGATGATTCTAAAACATTTGGATCTGAATCTTTGGGCCCTTCAACTTGTGAAGCGGTAATGTTTTTTTATTGGTTTAAATGACGTATGCATCATAAACGATTTTTTAGGTTGATAATGAAATTCGGAGGATTCTGTCAGAGAGCTATGAGAGAGCGAAATACATACTGAAAGTTCACGCTAAAGAACATAAAGCATTAGCCGAAGCATTAATGAAATATGAGACATTGGATGCAGAGGACTTGAAAGCTATAATTTCTGATAAAAATACAGATAAGAAACTTTAATTTATTTAAAAAAAAAACATCATATACATTTTGTTGTTGATTTATTTCGCTTTTTGACGACTTTATTATTTACTGAAGAAAACAACAACAAAATAGTATTGTAGATAGAAATGTAAATAATTCTGTAACTCAATTATAACTGGCCTTCTGTGACTTAATCATTTTCAGATTTCATTTGCTTTCCCATATCTTCAATTCTTGCTATATGCTGAAATTGTATTGAAGCGTTAAATAAATATTCCAATGTTTACAATTCTTTTAATTCATTTTCCTTAACTATACAATTGAAAAATGTTATCTGATGTTGAGAAACATATTTTTTTCTACTACTACTATTGTGAGTGATGAATATTGTACACGAAACAATGTTAATGACAGTAACTAGGTAGGTAGGTACTTATATTTCCATCAATGAATCAAGTCATCAATCAAAACCGAAAGCAGGCATGTCATATTTTTTGTAAATAAATATTTTTTGTTGATATTCCTCAGTTTCAGTTGAAAAATGTCAAGCGATGACGGCGAGATTATTTCTACACCACCAGAAATCCTAGAAAGATCAAAAATAGCAATAAATGAGTTGCTACCCGGACTAAGATACGAAATCACTTACAAAAAATTACTCAGGAATGTCATGTCATTTTTGGAAAATATTCTGATACTTTCAACAAATGCACAGTCGACTATAAATAACCATTATAATAATTTAACAGGTTGAGTGCCATGAGAGTCCAACATGGTCTCGCACATACTTCTGACTTTGTGGCCGCGTGAGACCAATATGGTCTCGCGTATATCCACAACTGATTTGGATGCATATCTCCACAGTGGTCTCTCGCAGCTTTGTGAACTAAATGGCGTTCGAAACAGCGAGGCCTGGTGGTCCAGAGAATGTTAGTTCAGGAAAATGTTATTAACCTTTTTTTTTTCTCACGCAAATATATAGGCACTTTTATGGGTTTTCTTCATTTATACATCATGAAAATGTAACAAAATCATTCAGAATATCCTAAGAATGAAATAAATATCATTCATTGAACAATATACCTACTGTTAGAAACTGCACTAGTCGACGGTATATCATTTCTGAATGTTTGAGTTTTTCTAGCACATACTTTTTTTTTTGATTTTGGGACCTTTTTTCGGTTGTTTGGAAGATGCATTCTTCAACAATGACGGAGAATCTACTGATGACTCATATTGATATTCATCAGAAAGATACACGTCCCCAAACAGTGATTCTCCATCTTGATTGCTTCAGTTTTCGTCTTCATCGGACAACACATCCTGACATAACTTCGTCAATTGCTTTTGTTCTTCCTCGTACGAGGACATGATGTGACTTTTGCAGCATCACGAGACAAGTTGAGCCGGTCTGCCGGTCCCCCGCTCCTAATCTCAACATGCAGACATGCGCATAGCGTAGTGACACGTTGGTCTCGCGCAGCCGCCTGAACAAAATGGTCGAATGAGGGGCCCTGTGAGATCAATGTGGTCTCCAAAACTTAAGCGCCATTTTCAACCTTCCAAAAATTCCGGCACATCAAAAATAAAAGTAAATATCAACAGTACGTTAGTATCTGATGTTTTAGGCAAAAATAATGTATCGGCCTCTGGAACCGATATTTTTCGATACATGGTGGCACTCAACCTGTTAATATATTCATCGTATTTGTTTTTTATTATGAATAGAGCTATAGCTGTACTATCCTGAAGGAAGTATAGTGTAGTCGTGGAAAAAGTATTACATTCCTCGAGTTACACTTCGTACATTATATGCGTTTTACAACTCTTGTTATGTAATAGGTGTATGCTAGTTCCCATGTAACAGATCAATAGTCCTAATGTCGATCTGAATGAAACATTTGTAGTCAAGTTAGTATAATATTGTCAGCCTATTGAATACATGCGGACATAGTTTTTCCTACGACTACTATTGTGAGTGATGAATATTGTACACAAAACAATGTCAGTAAGCACAGCACAGCGTGCGTAAAGCGAGCGATCGCACGGTTTTAGGTAGATACGAAATCGCTCACAAAAAATGAACCAGGAATAATATTTGTCATTTTCGGAAAATATCCTGTTACTTTCAACAACTGCAGTGTGTATCAATCACCATTATAATAATTTCATGATTATCGAATTTGTTTTTTGTTATCAATATAAAGTTTAGATATGAAAAACGTGTACCTTTTCATGCAGATAGCTTAGTGACGGGAGACGTATGAGATATTCGTGTCTCAACATAATATTCGTTCTCTCCTGGATAAGGAAGTATAGTGTAGTCGTAGAAGTATAGTTCATTTCGAGTTGTAAAGCAGTTACGCACTCGTGGAGTTACACACTCGCCGCTAGCGACATCGTGAGTAACCCTCTCCACTTCGTGCGTAATATGCGTTTTACAACTCTTGTTATGTAATACATTATTTTGTCAGTTCTCTGTACTGAGTAATAGGTTCTTTACACGTTGAAAATTGAAACACTATTAGCAGATTTTTATCAAGTATCGTGAATACCTGATAGGGAGCTGGAATCATACCTATTATGCATGAAGACAAAACTGGTGTTTGCAATGTACAGGGTGATTCACGGTCGATGGTACCTTAGAAATTTACGGAGAACGGGACATAGGATCTTCCTAAAAATTTGGGCTCAAACTCAAGCAGTTGTTGCTATTGGTCTATCGATCTAAAATATTTTCAGTAATGCATCGTCACCGCTCATTCCAGAAAGTAGTAGCAACTTTGATATGTCAAATGGAACACCCTGTATTCCATTGTATTTTTAGATTCTTCCTGAAGAGATGATTTCATCAATTTATCATACTTGGGGTCTAGCGGGAATGATTACAGAGATATAAGATTTTTTTGAGTCGATTTCCATAAACTGGCATAACTTTCAATATTGTTGATCACACTGGTTGAATAATGTGTGCTCATCGAAAATTAGATCTAGGAATATTTGCCATTTTCATAATATAAATATTTTATTAAGATAAGCTAACTTTGTTGTTGATTCAGTAATTTTAAAATCTCAATAAATTGTTCTGGTTTATGTTGATAATATTAAAAGAGCAATAATATTCAGCAGTTTTCAGATAATCGTTTTTGAACTTTGAAAAATCAATTATTTGAATAGCTGTGGTTACAGTCAGTGGCGGCTCCTCAGAGGAGGCAACGGAGGCTGAGCCTTAGAGATTTTCCTCAAACTAATATTATCTATACTTTCTCATTGAAAGGACACCAAAATACATGGATTTAAATTTTATTTACTGTTTTTAGTTAAATATTTTTGAATTGGCAACAGTGCTTGCCCACGCATCACACGTTGAAATCTGCAAATCACGCGTAAAATATTCAACTTGGCAACATCTATAGGAGGCTAGACTCCTTCATAATTCGCAGCCTACGCGCGCAATGCAAATGCCCGACTAGCACATGTTTGTCGTGTCGCTTCGCGAATTGCGGACAAACGCGAGTGCATTGTTTATGTTTATGTTAGTTTAATGGTTAGGGGCTCTATATAGTTCTGAAAAATGAGTGTTTCAAACGAACGATTGCGATTTAGTGGAATACTTTTTGGTGAACTCATTCAGTGCTTTGTCTTATGAAGATAAATTGATTGTGAAAAACAAACGTCTGACACTGGAATTAAAAAATCTGATTGTAACAGGTAACAAACAAAATCGTTCGTTCAATTCTGATAATTATAAAAAATATATCTGGTTGACGGGATCTGAGGTAAGAAATAAGCTATTTTGTTGGTACTGCGTATTATTTTCAACCGATAAGTCATCATGTTGGGGCGATTAGGATATAATGATTTGAAAAATTCGCCTCGCGGATTGGATAGACACTGCAAATCACAGGAACACATCTCTTCAAGTATTAAGTTCAGGTTAACTGGTAAACAGAATGTCATTAAAGCTATTGATTTTGGTGAGTAGAGAGTTGTTTTTCACAATAAATCTCATATCATTCAGCCTCCTCTGTCATGAAAGTAACGAGCCGCCACTGGTTACAGTATTATAGTGCATAACTATTATGCGCTTGTCGATTTATACAAGCATATCATAGTTTTCATAGCTCCTATACCATTTACATTGAGAATTTTTCTTGGCCGGCGACGCCTTTTTGGGATGGCGCGCTAGAGAACGTTGGATTTGGTTAAAACAGGAACTACATTATATTATTTTTATTCCAAACCAAAATACGATATAAAATTCTGTATATACATAACAATAAAACTGTCTTAAAAACATCCACACCATATTCACATATCACTGAAATTGAGAATAAAAAATAACATTATGGTAGGTAATTTGCTTCAAACAGATTCCACACTTTTATTATTCATCAAGTGAAACTTTGTGAAATGTGCCATCCAAACCCATTTGATACTCACATTTTGTAGCTAATTGCAAATCCACCAAAGTATTGCACAATACATACTTTTACCTTACCTATTTTGTCATGAAATTATATTCTTAATGAGAAAATTGTCACAACCATCTAAACCCACCACTTTAAACAATCTCCTTCAAGGATTTTTTTTTTCACCTCAAATTACAATAGTATAAACCTCATCCAGAATTGAAACTAAGTTCTCCTACTGAGATATCTATTCATGATTAAATGTGCGACAAATGGCCAAGTGACAATAAAAACAATAAGCTGCATCGACATCCCGCCAAACATTCCTTTTCGTCTTGATTGTGTTATAGTTTTACTGGCATTCTCTATCGAGTCCATTCTATCTGTTAACCTACCGATATCGCTCCTCAAGCTTTGCACTGCTTTGGAAATTTCTTGAGATATGTCTATACCCGGAGTAGACCGTGTTCTTGCTCGTGAAATGTGTTGGTGTTGAATAGGTTCGTTAAGCGTTCCTAGGCAATCTGATATGCTAGTGAATTTTCTTGGTTCTGGATTCTGAAATAGAAGCATAAATATAATTTGATTCTTCAAAGCTGAAGTTCATATTATAGTGTAAAGAGCTACTATCATCATATAAGGATACATATTTATTGACATTTAAACATGATCACACATTGTCAAACTCTGGTCCACTGTATGTCACTACAGGGTCTTTTCTTCACTCTTCAACAATGATTGGGAGTTAGGTAACGGATAACTGCAGCCAAGAATACACTACTTGTAATTTGGGATGCACCGGGAACTGTTTTCTGAAAAAGCCGGGTATCGGGTACCCGATTTTAAAGGTAGGCCGGGTATCGGATACCCGGCGGCCGGATATTATCAACCAGTGCATTGAAGCTGTCGTGTAGTTTCTATATTCCATCATATCTATCTCCTAATATCTATATTGCACTAAGCCACAATGCCGACGAACGTTATTCTTTGAAACATCAATAAAAACCATGCATAATCTCCGTTGGGATGGTGGCAAATTTAGCTTTGACAGCTAGGACCTTTTTGTCCGCACCAGCATCCACAATATCGAGCGAACGCTTATTTTCTGAAGCAGGAATGTCTTCGAGTCGACAAGAAACAGACTATTGCCAGAAAACGGAGAACAACTAATATTTCTTCATGACAATTTACCACTCCTTAATTTTGAATATTAGTTTTATCACGATTTTTTGTTTTGGGTTCTAGTGAGAATCTTATTTGTGTTATTAATATGTTTCTGTTCTCGAGCCTTTTAGTTTTTGTCTTGACCACCGTTTATTCCGGAAAAAATACCCGGCCGGGTATCCAAAGCGAAGCCGGGTACCGAGTACCCGGCCGGTACCGGGTACCCGGTCGGGTAACGGGTAATACCCGGTACCCGGAGCATCCCTAACTTGTATCTCTAATGTTGTGTGTGGAAGATATAACGTATCAAAAACAGTCACGTGGCACTCAATCATTGTTGAAGTCCCGTTAGTACGGTTAGTATGTTGTATGGTTGACTTGAATGTGCTGTTTCTTATTTTCGGTTATATAATAGATATAAACTCAACCAATTCTGATAGGAAACGCTTTTTTATGTCATGATGGGGTTTAGTGGGACCTGCGAAGTGAGATTCCGCAAAACACAGAGTTACACATTAGTATATTGATCAACGAGCACAGAATGATAGTGATTTCCATATAAAAGAGGGAGGGCAGGATGAAGGGAGCTATAAAAACACGTGTATCGGAATTCGACAAACTTGGTCACATGATATGAAGGGTTTTTCCAGTTTTTTCAGATATATCACCAATAGAGTCGATTTAGATCTCGTGACACAGATGGCACAGTATGGAAAATTTGTTGATCGTTTTAATGTTAACTGATGCTTTAAATTACTAAAATTCAAATTTTGTCGAAACGATGAGAGTAATCAAATTTTATCGAGAGTACCTTTTTTGTAGTAAACAAGTTACGCAATCCAAACTCCATATCAAAACCCCTTTCTTTCCATTGGCGTAGAAGTTTTAGATGTTTATTAACTGAAAAATTCAATTTCTACGCCCATGGAATGATATTTAACATAATTATGATATGGGTTTTATTGCCCAATTGAGCTATGCCAACGTACCAAATTTGAGTAAAATCTCATGAGCCGTTTCAATGTTATGAAGCAAAAACGATTTGATACTTGTAACTTCAGATCTGTCTGGCTCCCAAACTAAGCAACTTTGTTCTTAGTTCAGTTTGCTTGTATAGAATGATTTTGGTGTGAGGAATATGTGGTAAGTTTTTGTAAAGACCTTTTAGGGACACCCTGTATATCTGAAAGAACTGAAAAATCCATGACACCAAGTTCGTCGAATTCTCTTACACTAAAACTGTAGTAATACATTTGAAGAGCTACTGCAAAATTTTTTGATCGAAATGAGATTATGAAAATAGTGTTTTTTCAACTGGTCAATGCGATTACGCCCTCTAGCGGTCGTCCTGGGGACTTTAAATACATTTCCAGAGATTTCTCTTGGCCACATCATAATAAATATTTTTCCGAAATTTGCACGGCAAATGATTTCCGAGATACAGCCGGCGTCCTTTTTTAGCTTACACCCGGTACAATATTTTTTTCAATTCTGGCAAGAAAAATGTTCCCCGAATTGATCAGTTTGATAATTTCAATGAATTGTATTGATAATAATGGGGGTACAATATTTCGCTTGTCAGTTGGAAGTTTCAAACATATGACAGAATATCGCGTATGGCAACTCAATTTTTTATGAGTGAGGGTTGCTGGGCTGTGTGCACGTGAATATATACCAAAGAAGGGAAGATTTGTATTTCGTGCTAGATAATTTATTCAAAATATTCGTAGCAGAGCGCTTTCGACTGCTAAGTCATCATCAGTGCGTACCTGAAAGTAAGTAATCTGCTTTTAACTGTTGGAAAGAAATTGTAATTGAAAATTCTAAAAAAATATTGAAAATAAATTGGTGACTTGTTACTTTTTGATGAACTTTTGATTTGTTTTGTTTTGGGAAACACATTTTAATTTGTTTGTAACGTATTTTACCTGAATGTCGTTAGTTTTAAACTGGACCAAAGATATTTTTATGAACGAATTTCCCTGTTAACCTGACGAGTAAGTAACCTCACTTTTATCAATTTCCAAATTCATATTTAACAATTTCAAATTTCGATTTTATTATAATGTGTTTTTCAAATCAAAAGTTCATCAAAAAGTAACAAGTCAGCAATTTATTTTTTAAATTTTTCACTTTTTCAATATTAAACTTTCCAAAACAAAAATTTTTCAAATTGTTTCGAAAATTTTTTTAGAATTTTCAATTACAATTTCTTTCCAATAGTTAAAAGCAGATTACTTACTTACAGGTACACACCGATGATGACTTAACAGTCGAAAGCGCTCTGCTACGAATATTTTGAATAAATTATCTTGCACGAAATACAAATCTTCCCTTCTTTGGTCAATTTTTTATGACACAATGAACATTGCATCACCAGTAATGAAACATTTTACCTCATGCAACTGGTTACGTAAAGTGGGACGTTTCATACATGTCAAATTTAGAAAATAGATTTATAATTATCATTGGCTTGTTCATGCCATTTTTCCAAAAATTTTGTAACACCTAGTATACTCATTTTGCTTGATTATTTGGGATTTTCTCTCTTCGTTTTTATAAAATAAAAATATGAGTATTATTTCAATATACATTTAGTAGGTCAAATCAGAGGATTTGACCCAAAATGTCACTATATTTAAAGAAAAATCCAATCAATTGTCAGTGACAATTTGTTTCGAAAAATGTTTAAGTAAAGGAAATATAGATAATGAATAATGAAGCAAAATGAATGTACCACCTCCTCGATTAACCTACTGCCAGAGCCTATACAATCGAATTATAAAATTCTCAACTATTCTCAACTAGTGGTGTTATGTGTCGGTTCAACAATCAGTACTATGCAAATTGACAGATTCGGCATTTTTTATAGCCATTGCTTAGCAGTGTTGCCATACAAGTGATTTGAAGTTTCAGTGGTAGTTTACAGTGTTTTTCGTGATGTTCATTGGTTATCAATACATAAATATCACGGCATTGTCAATGAAAAGGATTTATAACTCGGAGGTTCGTTTATTCTTCTTCTTCGTCATCCACCATCATCCACGAAATCATTGTGATAATGGGTATTTGGTTCATGAAATGTTTTTTTTTTCAACTGAATTAAAAAGAAAATATATATAAACTATAACCTCCAAAGTGAAATATGTGCCTGTTATTTATGTGTGAAATTTGTATTCTGAAAATGTCCACAGCGGTTGTGTTCTTTCCCTAATTATGATTTTATTTCTAAGAAATTTGATTTTCAAAGAAGAAGAAATATTCCTATACCTTTTCATTTTGCTGATATCCGATTTGTACTACTTACCTCAATTGTATCAATGTATTCATCATCAGATTCATCTGCTGGGATATCAGGTGAAGGAGAGCAACTAGATCTCACACTAGAACTCTTTGATCCCAATCTGACAGGAGATACCTCCCTGGAACCTAAAATTCATTGAAATACACTGATAGTTATCAATCATCTTATGGATGAGTTTTACCTAAAGGAGAATTAGGTTGTGACCTCACTCTTTCCATAACATCCCCAGCTATCAATTCTAGGTCCTCCATATTGATAGCTTCCAATTCATCTGTAGGGGCCTCCAAAAAGTTCGCTACTTTATCGGAATAACTCATCGTTTCGACAATCCTAAAAAATTAGATAAGACAAGATAAGATAAGAATTAATTGGTCTTTATGTTACAATATTATATACACTGAAAAACAATACGCATAATTTGTTTCGACAAGTCAACCATAGGAAAGGTATACAATCACATTACGTTTTGAAATCTGAAATTTTAAATTCAAAATTTCAAGTTTTTCAAATTTTAAAATTAATCAGCACCTTTTTAAGAAAAGCACGTAAGTATAAAATTGAAATAATTTCGTTAGTGCATTTTGCCATTTATCAAACTGGTCAGCTGGGCCAGACTGGAGGTACAGGTCAACTGCTTAAAATGCGATGTTAGAATATTAACCACAAGAAATATTGAAATTTCGTCGTGTCGAATTAAATTTTCAAAAATAAAACGGATTTTCATCAAAGCATGGATGTAACAAATGATATACACTTTTTCAATGCAAAGAACAAAAACTAAAATATAATTTAACTGATGAATATAAAATGTAAACTCTCGAGAACTGCATCGATCAATATATAGAAAACCATAGGTGGGTCGAATTTGAAAATTTGGGAGTTCACTATTGTTGATAAGTGCTATCTGGCTAAAATATTTTGAAGATTGTGGCACTTCCGGTTGTACCGGAAGTGGACCCCAACTTCGTTATTTTAAATAGGACACCCTGTATATCATCAAGGTTTAAGATTTAACGCATAATTCTGAACATGTTTCATGTATAATTTCCTATACCCAAGTCTAACCGAAAAGTATTTTGTTTTAGTTCTTGTCATTTATTTTCGATTGTGTATCGATTTATTCGTAGGAGAAGACGCAATTCAGTAGGATTTTGATATCAATTCGATTATAGTTATACAGGGCGTTAACCAGAAAATGATATAGATCCGGATGAAAAAATTATTGTAAGTCAATTTTTTCAAATGGAAACCCCCAATTTTATATTCTCATTCGATTCAGCATCGAAAATGAAGCTAACTTTGAATAAGGTTATCTATGCCTAAACTCAACAGTTTTCGAAATATTGGCGAATTAACATTCCAGAAAATTAAATTGTGAGGGTATGATATTGAATATTTTTGGCGTGATCTTTGTATTGATGTAAAGGATGTGTTAGGAAATGTGACGTATTTCAGGCTTATAGCTCTTGTAGTAATAGGATGCGAAATTTTTTGCATAATATACTTATTATTAAGTATTACTCTACAAACATTTTTTATGTGTAACTGTTCAAGATTCAGAACTCTAGCATCGTCAAACACTTGCTCTGTGAAGAATCTTCTGTTTTTAAATAGTATGAATTTTAGGATTCTTTTCTGGGCTATTATTAGTGGGGACAGAACGTATTCACAGGCTGAGCCCCATGCAACAATACCATAATTTAGAACCGACTTTGCTAAGGCCCTTTATACATTTATTACGTTTTTCTTTGGCAACCAATCCCTAATTTGATAAAATTTGTAATACATTTTTATTAATTTCGTTGTTACATACTCAACGTGATACTGCCACTTCATGTGTGAATCAAAGATCAATCCTAGATATTTAGTTTTAGGTACTAAAGAGATCTCATTCGAATAATTCAAACGAGCCGGCATGATTGATTACAATGACATTTCCGTGACAGTTTATTGTTTCCAATGCAACTGCGGGTGCCATGGCCAACTAAGAATAAGTAAACTCAGGAATACGAGATTTTCTGGAACTGAGACTAATTCGCCAATATTTCGAAATAGGCATCGATAACCTTAGTTCAAAGTAGTTCATTTTCGATACCGAATCGAATGAGAATATAAAATTGGGGAGTTTCCACATGAAAAAATTGACTTACAACAATTTTTTCAACCGGATCCAGCCCTAATCGAATTGATATCGAAATTCTACTGAAATGGGTCCTCTCCTACGAATAAATTGATATACAATCGGAAATAAATGATCATGTCCAGAAATAAAAAAATATATTCCTCGGTCTGCAAACGCAATTTTCAACTCAAAATTTGAAATATTTCGAAAACGGTTAGACTTGGGTATAGAACATATATACATGAAACATGTTCAGAATTATGCGTAAAATCTAAAGCCTTGATAATATACAGGGTGTCCCATTTAAAATAACGACGTTGGGCTCTACTTCCGGTAAAACCGGAAGTGCCACAATCTTCAGAATATTTTAGCCGGATAGCACTAATCAACGAACTTCCAAATTTTCAAATTCGGTCCATCTATGGTTTTCTATATACAGGGTGTTTGGTTCACGGACGTATATATGCAAGGCGGTGAAAGGTGAGAACATTTTGAACATATTTTACCATATATTATATACTATTAAACAAAGAATTTCGAGGTATCATCGTTTTTTCAAACATTTTATCTGATTAAATCTCTTTTTTTCTCAGAAAGTTGGATACGCATCTCATCGATATTGAGCACGAAATGGAATCTAATGTGTTAAAAACATTTTTTGGCTCGTTGGAATTCAAAAAACGATTTTTGTAACATCCAATTTCGAATTTATAAGCGATGATTTCTCGAAAAGTGCAACACTTTGTATAATAGTATATATGGTCAAATTTGTTCAAAATCACATAACCTACCACCTCCTTCCGTATATACGTCGGTGAACCAAACACCCTGTATATTGATAGATGCAGTTCCCGGAGGGAAACCCTGTATTAAGAAATACATTGAGAATTCGCATTCTCTATGTGATAAAAATATCAATTCTTTCTCGGTTTATTCAACAGAAAACAACTACTTTCCTGGCTATATGCCACGACGAACATATTGAATACAGATATGTAACAACATGACTACTTAAAAAATTATGATAGAACAAAAATCACAGTAAAACAGAAATTGTTTCAACAAACTTAGGGTCGGCTGCATAAAACTTTCTGTTTGCTTAACCTTTCCGTGATGGGGCCCATAGAAATTCCGTAGTCGCCGGCGCGGTGTAGGAGTGCTACCCCACTAGAAAATCGTACTTATGAGCAAGAATTGAATGAATTCGAGGTTTATACTAATTATTTTCTGTCTTGCCGTTTCCTGTCACAGTTGGAATATTTTCATGATTCATTTTGTTGGACTCACAATTTTTCATGAACTGGTTCGTCTGGATCGAAGGACCAATGTAAAATCTAAGTCTGAGATGAATAATAATTATAGCCGGTCTTGACTTCCGAATAACTTTTTTATCAATCTTCTACCAAATGTTATATGTTCTCGATTTTTTTCGAATTGTTGAACAACTGTCCCTATGGTATCCATACGGAACAAAATCATAAAATATATACAGGACGTAAACTATACAAAACAATTACAGGGCGCTACATTCTCCCCCTCATGAAGGAAATCATTTGAATTTCTTCATGCTTTCATATCAATTCGGCATTTCATCGTCTGATGATTATTTCTCAGACAGGAAAAGCACAATTTCAATTTAGTCACAGTTTCCCACTTGGTCTCGACATCATCCTGCTTCATTTTTTGACATTTTCGGATACCGTGTTCGTGAACTGTACAGTATGTGCATACTTCATCTGTTCTTTTATTTTCTGCGATGACTAAGGTCGTTTCTTGTTTTCTTGAGGATCCTGAGAATTGTTTTTGTCTGTAACTATCAGGTTTGCTATATTTTGACGTGCTTGGAGTATTTACAGAGCAAGTTGCAGTCGCAATCTCGTTGATCCACAGAGAAATGTCTCCTGAATCGGATTTACCGTGTCCTTTCATGATTTCTTCTCCCCAGCGAAGTTTCAGCATGTCTGGAAGTTCCTGAATCATATCTCGAAGAAGTATGGGGTTTTGCAAATGCTCATTGCAGCCTAAAGACTTGACTGTGGCTACTGAGCACGTAACATGACTAGAAAATGTAATCAAACTGTCCAAATTTTGCTCCTTAATTGGCGGTACAGCTTTAACTTTGGTGATCAGCCCATCAATGATTTGGTCCGGGCGTCCGAAACGCATTTCCAGGGTCTTCAGAACTGAATCGATATTTCCAGGTGATATCGTCATTCCAGATACTGCCATTCTTGCTTGTCTTTCATGCCTTTCTGTAGCTTGATTATCATTTCTTCAGATGAGTACTCACATAACGTTGAAATTTTCCTAAATTGCATTATGAAGGTAGGCCATTCTTCAGGATTGCCGTCAAAATAAGGAAAATCTCTCTCCACAACTTGTCTTGCAATGTACCTGTCTTGTCTTGGTGACTGAGCAAAAGTTCTAATTGCATCGTTGATTGATTGGCAAAGTTGATGAATATCTGACGACTTCTTGTCTTCTTATACCATATTCTAATTTTCTATAATTATTTTCGATGTGAGATTCCGGTATCAATAAAGGAATTTCAGCTGGTTCCTTTTCGGCAACATCCTTCGTATCACTATGAAAACTGTTAAGTGACACTTTTGATTGATTTTCTTCAGATAATTCTGTCTCCCTTACGTCTTATTCTAGTTCTAATCACTGTAATTGGTTTTCTAATTTCTTCATTTCTACGGCTTGCTTTATCTTTGCAATTCCCAGTGCATGTCGTTGAATAAACTGAAGAAGTTTTACGTATGTCAGTATCTGTATACAATAGGGGAATATCTTGCATTGTTTGCTGTCGTGTTCGGTTATTCGCCTTATATAATTCGTTAGCTTCTTCATGTTCTTTCAGAATGTTTGCTGAAGTGTTGTCATTTTTGGCTTCAGGAATACCTGACACGATACTGAATGGTTTATTTTTTGATAATCCGAAATCTTGAGGCCACGTATAGCTGGTATCTAGTCTGGTATTGATACCTGCATTTGATCTTCTTTGCTTTTCTGTCTTGCCGTTTCCTGTCACAGTTGGAATATTTTCATGATTCATTTTGTTGGACTCACAATTTTCCATGAACTTGTTCGTCTGGATCGAAGGACCAATGTAAAATCTGAGTCTGAGATGAATAATAATTATAGCCGGTCTTGTCTTTCGAAGAACTTTTTTATTAATCTTTAACAAAATTTTATATGTTTTTTT